TCCACACTGGACCAATACCTTGGAGTCCAGCTTGCGCTAGACTTTGATCCAAGGCAACCAGCTTTCAGGAAGAAGGCTTACAGCTTTTCATCTCATCCCCTGCATGCATCAGCCTTACTAGAGATATTAACAATGCAAGGAATTCGCAAGAGCAGGGGAAATATACACAAACACTGATCTCTGTCAAGAGGGAAAATTCAATTATGTTTCTTTCCATGACAGAACTGTTTGGTACTATAATCTGGGCAGCACCCACCCAGTGGGTGATTACATGCACTAACGTGGTTAAAGATAGCATTCGACTCCTACCCTGTCCTGGACTGGGCAATTCTGGTTTCCAGAAATTTACTGTTTGATCGATATATGAGAGAGAACACTGAGTACATGGGACCCTGTAAACCCCACCAACTTTGTTGGAGAGTGTGTTTTTAATCAGCCTTTGTTTCACTGTCCCCGTGTTTTTAAATGTCTCACCGCAGGCGAGCCAGATTCTCAGTGTATGGTAAAACTAGTTCATTTTTCCTATCCGAGTATTTGAAATTTCTCTTTATTGAACTTCATAATGTTTTCTGTAGCCCATTTAAAGATTTGGTTGATGTCCGCTTGAGGTCTTGCAGTCATTGATGAAGGACACTGTCATGGCAATTCGGGTGGCATCCGCAAAAGAAGACACGGAGCTATGCCTTACATTTATGTTTATGTCAGATATGAGGATGAAGAACAGGATGGGAGTGAGTACTGTTTTGTGGAACAGACCTTTTCACTGTAGCCACTCCTGACTATAATCTATTTACTATTGTTTCTTGTGTTCTGTTTGCTAATAAGTTATAGATCCATCTTCGAACTTTTGCTGTTATTCCTTTGTCACGTATTTTGTGTGGTATTATACCATGGTCACACTTGACAAAGGCTTTCGCAAAGTCTGTGTATACTACTGCTGCATATTATTTATCGTCTAAAGCATCCAGGACGTTGTCATAGTGGTCCAGTACCTGGGACAGGTAGGAGTGACCTTCACTAATCCCTTGTTGCCCTGGATTTTGTAACTGATAGGTATCTGAGGGGTTGGCGATCTTGTTTCTTAGAACTCTTTCAAAGATTTTTATGATATGGGATGTTAGTGCTGTCTGTCTGAAGTTCTTTGCAATTGCTTTACTGCAGTGGGGCTATGTAAGTTGTTTTTAGTGACTGTGGAATGCTTCCTCTCCGTTGAATGCTGAAGGCACATGACAGGTGCTTCTTGTAGTTCTTGACGAACAAGGAGTTCAACGAGTCCGGGCCTGGGGCAGAGTGCATGAGTATGTCATTAATTGCCTTTTCGAAGTCTTGTGATTTAAGGATAATATCAGAGATTAATGAAATGACGAAATTTTGTGTCTCGTTCACAGAAAATCATTTAGATTGTCGACCCTGAGTCTGGTTAACGGCTCACTGAACATTGAATCATATTGGATCTTTAGTATCTCACTCATTTCTTTACTGTCATCTGTGTAGGTCCCATTTCGTCTAAGCAGGGGTCCAGTACTAGATGTTGATTTCGCCTTAGATTTGGCATAAGAGAAGAAGTATTTTGGGTTTCTTTCAATTTCAGTGATGACTTTAAGTTCTTCTGAGATTCATGTCTCTTGTAAAATTCCTTCAGCATAAGTTCGATATTTGTTATTTCTCTGATCAGTGCCTCCCTTTGTATTTCAGATATCATAGCGCCACTCAGCAGCTCTGCAAGTTCTCGCTTTGCCTGTATAGGGAGCATCTCTCTCTTCTTTTCTTAATTGACAGTGTCTTGAGCAGACCTAAGTGCCACAGTTTTTTTTTTTTAGGCAAAGGTTCGAATCCGTTTGTTTTACGATATCTTCCTGCTTGTTTCATTTAGGACATGATTGACTTGTTCCCATTGTATATTTTGTTATTGAAGTTGAATTTTGTGAAGGCACCCTCATAATGATCACATTTTGCTGGTCAGGAGCCCCGTACATACTGTCTGTATCTATATTATATTGTGATCTGAGTGTATGGTCTTTGATACGGTTATAATTACGTATCAGATCATTGTTAGTGAAGGTGAGGTCTAGTGTATTTTCTAGTCTTTTAGGCTCTATTATTCGCTTTTTTAATGTGATTTTGTTTCAGAAATTTAATAGCTCACGTGCGTGTGAATTTTTATCTGAGCTGCCTCCTGGAGTGATCTCTGTTAAAACATTATTTTTTACACTCCTCCATTTAGGTGTCTCAAGTTGAAATCCCCAGCAGCAAGTTGTCTGAGGCAGTAGTTGAGAGATTTTCCAGACATATATATATTGAAAACAGCCAAGTGCTTTCATAATTTCTCACATTAGCAAGGTGATGTACGTATAATTAAACAGTGGAAGGTTTATAAGGCTGAGATGTTACTCCAGTATGATGCAGGTGGGAAGTGTCAATGACCTGTTATGCATAACTTAAATTCTTCCCAAATTTTCTTACAAGTGAATCTAGTTTGTATAATCCTAAATTATTATTCATATTAAAATCAACGCTGTATTTTTATGAAGCTTAATTCATTTACATTTCTCTCAACCATATTCTTACTTGATGCAACTTTCTCGGCCTTTTGAAAATCAATTGGTTGACTAAAATCTCTCACATGAATAACCAGAGCATTAAACTCTTGTCCAGTTTTAACGTTATACGTATCTTATGCAATCGTAGTTGAAGGCTTTTCCACTTTGTTGATAATAAACTTTATGATTTTCTGATTTTCAAATTCTTAATTACAGAAGGTATATCAAGAAGGATTTCATGGTAAGGGAGAACCAACATATATTTGGATGAATATGGAGGTTCAACAATTTTTGAATCATAAAATGCATTTCTACTATTTTAAATGATTTACGATTAAAGTATTTTGGTTATTTTAGATCACTGGATATTTCATAAATCTTCAATATTTCTTCATCTATGAAGTCTGAGATGCAAAATGTACAAAGCTCTCAAAACGTGGATGAAAATACGAATATGCGAAGAATAACAGTGCATATAAGAACAGTTATTTGTTGGTTTTATGTATATTTTCAATTTAATATCATGGTTTGCCATAATAATGAAAATATCTAAAATAGGCTATGAATTATTTTGTTCAAACTCAAAACAAGGAAATGGTTTATATCTATATTCTTATATCTGGATCACTTATCTCAGCTGGGAAGGATATTCTTAAGCAGTCCTATTTCAAAATATTCCATGTACAAATTGTTAAGGACAGGTGAGAGAGGATTTCCCATTGTCATACCAAACTTCGGAGTGTATAACTCGTCATTAAACAGAAACTTCGCATCAACAATACAAAGCTTAATTAGCTCGATGGTTGTAGCGACTGGCAATGGTAAATCGTAACTGTCGAGTTCTTCGGATAAAAAAACTTAATAAATCATCCACTGGGACTTTTGTAAACAAAGAAGAGACATCATACTTAACCATACTGTAATTATTTAATTCAGTCATAGTGCTTAATTTATCAGCTAAATCAATATTATACTTAACTATTAAAATTATAAATTTTTGCCAACAATTGGGCTCAACATATCTTCTAGCCATTTATATAATTTATAGGAAACTGAACCTATGGCGCTAATTATGTGTCTGGCTGGATTACCTGGTTTATGTGTTTTTACTAATCCATCCATATATGGTAAAGATAGAATGATGGTTATGAATTTTTTAATTACCTCATCTTTGCCTTTTAGTAGTCGTTTTATTGTTTGTTAAATTTATTGTTAAGTGAGTCAAAGGGATTGTTTTTAAGTTTGGCATAAATATCTGTATCATCTAGGAAATTATATAATTATTATTTATTTTACCTTGGCATTTAGTTTCTTTTGAAATTACAGCTGAATTTATTTTGTCTGCTTGAGTAATATGCAAATTGTTATTATTAATAAGATTTTTATAAGATTTAAAAAAAATCAGAGGACAACTGGGAATATTTTGTATCATCATGAACCACAACCCATCCTCTTACGTATATTAATTTCATCACTGGCTAAATCAGTAGATTTAACAAGTTGCAAAACTTAAACCGAAACTAAGAGCAGCGGTTGAACTTTTAGCTAATGTTTCATCTGACAAGTTAATTACAAAATTGTTATTAGGATGAGTACAGAATAGAGGGTGAATGATTTATAATTTTATTATCCAATCAAGTCGTTAGTGGAATCCAGTACAAGAAACTTGCCATCTTATTTCTTGTTAATTAACTGGTCAATTAGCAAGAACTCATTTAAAATTAATTTCCTTCAAAAAATTTCACATATAGGTTTAATTTTTTTTTATTTATGTTAATGTAAAAATTAATAATTTTGTACCAAAAGAACAAAAAAAAAAACTTACCTAACCTTATTATAAGAAGCGCAATTTAATTAAGTTTTATGCAGCTAAATATATTTTAGATAAGTTCACAATAATTTAATTAACAAACACAATGAAGTATATTTTTTCGTTAGATTCAGAATGACTTTTGCGAAATTATTGCATACACAAATTTTTGCTTGCCTTATTCGACAAGAAGAGTGTTGTTATTTATTCCAAAATCGCAACTTTTACCTATTCGGCACGACATCTATATAGTAAAATAATTGATAAATGCTACAACAAGTAGATACATAGAAAGTACCGCCAATTAATTTTGTCTACCAATCACCATCATCGTTACAAACTTCGTTAATTCATTCATGAAAATAGTCTTCGCTCCTCTGTTTAATAAGTCTGGGTTGCCAGAAGTCACTTCTGTCCAGTAGAGATACCAGAGGTTTTTTTTCATGAATTGTACATCAGAACCTTCATACCGAGCTTTGTATATTTGCATTTCTTAATTGGCATTGACATATTTTTCTGTTTTCATGAATGAGATTGAGCTATATTGTCATTTTTTGCAAGAACAATGTTGAGATGTTGTACATAACAGCATGACTTACATATTATATGAGACATGTGTTGTAAGTATTACTGTATTTTGTGTCCCCCAGGGAGCATGGCTTGGCTCAGGAATGATGTGTTGTCGTTCCTGCCAGACCTCATCACCTACACGACACTCACATTAGTCGTCGCCATCGTACTGCCATGGCTCATCAGGAGGCAGCGGAAGGTATCTGCAGATTTTTAAATACAGCGCATTTACTGTAACAAAAACAGTCATTGTTTTAATTTTGGAAAATGTCACATAGATCAGGATAGCAACACAATGTGATATTTCAAAGTTTGATAAGAACAAACGTTGTATAAAGGAGGATTAGCCGCAAAATGCTGTTATATTAATTCTGATAATATATAAAACGCAGTAATTATGTGGACTGGGGACATCTCAGTGCTATATAGGTAAACAGTTTCTCAGTACTAAATTGTGAGATTCAGACATTTCACAGTGACGATTTGTTACACAGATAACCCGCACATAGAAGAGAGGAGCTTACGATGACGTTTCGGTCCGACTTGGACCATTTACAAAGTCACACTAACAGAAAGGAGAGAAGAAGGGAGTATGTATAGGTCAGCAGACAGGGATGGGACAAGAGGGGTAGTGGTGGAGGTAGTAGTAGTAATAGTAGTAGTGGAGTCAGTCAAATACTAAGGAAGAGGAACACTGCAAGGGAGCTAGGGGCCCACAGGGGGTAAAAACAATGTAGGGGCCCACAGAGGGTAAGAAAAAAGAACACAGAGGGGGGAAAATAATATTTTTTTTTATTATCACACTGGCCGATTCCCACCAAAGCAGGGTGGCCCGAAAAAGAAAAACTTTCACCATCATTCACCCCCATCACTGCCCTTCCCAAAAGGGGTGCTTTACACTACAGTTTCCAAACGGGCAACATTAACACCCCTCCTTCCAAGTGCAGGCACTGTACTTCCCATCTCCAGGACTCAAGTCCGGCCTGCCGGTTTCCCTGAATCCCTTCATAAATGTTACTTTGCTCACACTCCAACAGCACGTCAAGTATTAAAAACCATTTGTCTCCATTCACTCCTATCAAACACGCTCACGCATGCCTGCTGGAAGTCCAAGCCCCTCGCACACAAAACCCTTTACCCCTCTCTCCAACCTTTCCTAGGCCGACCCTACCCCGCCTTCCTTCCACTACAGACTGATACACTCTTTAAGTCATTTTGTTTCGCTCCATTCTCTCTACATGTCCGAACCACCTCAAACAACCCTTCCTCAGCCCCCTGGATAACAGTTTTTGTAATCCCGCACCTCCTCCTAACTTCCAAAATACGAATTCTCTGCATTATATTCACACCACACATTGCCCTCAGACATGACATCTCCACTGCCTCCAGCCTTCTCCTCGCTGCAACATTCATCACCCACGCTTCACACCCATATAAGAGCGTTGGTAAAAACTATACTCTCATACATTCCCCTCTTTGCCTCCAAGGACTTTGTCCTTGTCTCCACAGACTCCTAAGTGCACCACTCACTCTTTTTCCCTCATCAATTCTATGATTTTACCTCATTTTCATAGACCCATCCGCTGACAAAGTCCACTCCAAATATCTGAATACGTTCACCTCCCCATACCTCTCCCTCCAATCTGATATTCAATCTTTCATCACCTAATCTTTTTGTTATCCTCATAACCTTACTCTTTCCGGTATTCACCTTTAATTTTCTTCTTTTGCACACCCTACCAAATTCATCCACCAATCCCTGCAGCTTCTCTTCAGAATCCCCCAAAAGCACAGTGTCATCAGCAAAGAGCAGCTGTGACAACCCCCACTTTGTGTGTGATTCTTATCTTTTAACTCCACGCCTCTTGCCAAGACCCTCGCATTTACTTCTCTTAAAACCCCCATCTATAAATATTTTAAAAACAACCACGGTGACATCACACATCCTTGTCTAAGGCCTACTTTACGGGGAAAAAATTTCCCTTTTTCCTACATACTCTAACTTGAGCCTCACTATCCCGTAAAAACTCTTCACTGCTTTCAGTAACCTACCTCCTACACCATACACTTGCAACATCTGCCACATTGCCCCCCTATCCACCCTGTCATACGCCTTTTCCAAATCCAAAAAATGCCACAAGACCTCTTTACCCTTATCTAAATACTGTTCACTTATATGTTTCACTGTAAACACCTGGTCCACACACCCCCTACCTTTCCTAAAGCCTCCTTTTCATCTGCTATCCTATTCTCCGTCTTACTCTTAATTCTTTCAATTATAACTCTACCATACACTTTACCAGGTACACTAAACAGACTTACCCCCCTATAATTTTTGCACTCTCTTTTTCCCCTTTCCCTTTTATACAAAGGAACTATGCATGCTCTCTGCCAATCACTAGGTACCTTACCCTCTTCCATACATTTATTAAAAAATTTGCACCAACCACTCCAAAACTATATCCCCACCTGCTTTTAACATTTCTATCTTTATCCCATCAATCCGGCTCCCTTACCCCCTTTCATTTTACCTACGCCTAAACGAATTTCCCCCCACACTCACAACTGGCTCTTCCTCACTCCCTACAAGATGTTATTCCCTTGCCCAATACACGAAATCACAGTTTCCCCCTATCTTCATCAACATTTAACAATTCCTCAAAAATTCCCTCCATCTTCCCAATACCTCAAACCCTCTCCATTTAATAACTCTCCTCTCCTATTTTTAACTGACAAACCCATTGTTCTCTAGGCTTTCTTAACTTGTTAATCTCACCCCAAAAACTTTTTCTTTATTTTCAACAAAATTTGTTGATAACATCTCACCCACTCTCTCATTTGCTCTCTTTTTACATTGCTTCACCACTCTCTTAACCTCTCTCTTTTTCTCCATATACTTTTCCCTCCTTGCATCACTTCTACTTTGTAAAAACTTCTCATATGCTAACTTTTTCTCCCTTACAAACTCTCTTTACATCATCATTCCACCAATCGCTCCTCTTCCCTCCTGCACCCACTTTCCTGTAACCACAAACTTCTGCTAAACCACTCTAACACTACATTTTTTAAACCTACCCATACCTCTTCGCCCCCATTGCCTATGCTCTCATTAGCCATCTATCCTCCAATAGCTGCTTATATCTAACCCTAACTGCCTCCTCTTTTAGTTTATAAACCTTCACCTCTCTCTTCCCCGATGCTTCTAAATTTTCCTTGTATCCCATCTACCTTTATACTCTCAGTGTAGCTACAACTAGAAAGTGATCTGATATATCTGTGGCCCCTCTATAAACATGTACATCCTGAAGTCTACTCAACAGTCTTTTTTCTACCAATACTTAATCCAACAAACTACTGTCATTTCGCCCTACATCATATCGTGTATATTATTTATCCTCTTTTTTTTAAAATAGTATTACCTATAACTAAACCCCTTTCTATACAAAGTTTTAATCAAAGGCTCCCATTATCATTTACACCTGGCACCCCAAACTTTACCTACCCACCCTCTCTAAAAGTTTCTCCACTTTAGCATTCAGGTCCCCCACCACAATTACTCTCTCACTTGGTTCAAAGGCTCCTATACATTCACTAAACATCTCCCAAAATCTCTCTCTCTCCTCGCATTCCTCTCTTTTCCAGGGCATACACGCTTTAAATTTTGACCCACTTCTCGCATCCAACCCTTTTCTTTAATCCAATAATTCTTGAATTTACACATTCAATTCTCTTTTCTCGTTCCATAACTGATCATTTAACATTACTGCTACCCCTTCCCTTTTCTCTAACCTCTCAGATACTCCAGATTTAATCCCATTTATTTCCCCCCACGAAACTCTCCTACCCCCTTCAGCTTTTTTTTCGCTTAGAGCCAGGGCATCCAACTTCTTTTCATTCAAACATCAGCAATCATCTGTTTCTTGTCATCCGCACCCACATCCACCACATTTAAGCATCCCAGTTTTATAAAGTTTTTCTTCTTCTCTTTTTTAGTAAATGTATACAGGAGAAGGGGTTACTACCCATTGCTCCCGGCATTTTTAGTCGCCTCATACGACACGCATGGCTTACGGAGGAAAGATTCTTTTCCACTTCCCCATGGACAATAGAAGAAATAAAAAAGAACAAGAGCTATTTAGAAAAAGGAGAAAAACCTAGATGTATGTATAAAATATATATGCATGTGCGTGTCTGTGAAGTGTGGGCCAAAGTGTAAGTAGGAGTAGCAAGATAAACCCTGTTATCTAGGTGTTATGAGACAGAAAAAGAAACCAGCAATCCTACCATCATGCAAAACAGTTACAGGTTTTTGTTTTTACAGTCATCTGGCAGGAGGGTAGTACTTCCCGGGTGGTTGCTGTCTCCCACCTATCCCTTTAAAAAAAGGACAAATCCCCAAGGCAGCAAAAGAAAACCCCCAAAAGGAAAAAGAGAAAGGGAAAAGGGGAAGGGGGATAAGGGGAAAAAAAAAAAATGGTTTAAACCAGGGAGCATTTACAATTAATGGGAAAGAAAGTCACAACGAGACAAAGCGGACTAAGTTCATACAGGAAATTTGGGGCGTAAAAGGGGAAAGATTCAACCGACGGCGACCTGAATTTGAATTAGGGTAGACTTATATAAAGACCAGCCAATAGGATGACGTGATTTCTGACATGACATAAAAGACATTGCGGGGTTCGGCAACCCTAACACTATTTTTGTGCTCCCTAAACTTTCAAAAGAGATGGGCCCGGGTTTCCAAAGTACGGGAAAGGGGACATAGGAAAAAAAATAGAGCGACACCAGAGAACATAAGGGAGGAGCGGTAAGAACTAGATTAGTGCAAAAGTGTTAGACTGGAAAAAGTATTTTTTTAATAAGGAAGGGAGAGAGTTGTTGAGATTAGAAAGAGGAAATATCCCTAATTTCCGGGTCTTTCTAATCTCAACAATCTCTCCGTTCCTTGACATCAAACGATTTTGCCAGACTAACATTTTCGCACTATTCTGTCAAGTTCTCAGTTCCCGGGATTTTAAAGGTTTGGGGAAAAAGAAACTCCTTTTAGCATGTGAGAGGGCAAGTCATAAAAAGGGGAAGGGTAGCTAAGACGGGAAAATGAAATGAAAAGGAAATTTCTGATTGAAAACGAGGATCAAAAAATTCAAGAGCACGGAGAAAGAAGAGATAAGAACGCTTTTTTTTGACAAAGGAACATGATAAGAAAAGAGTGAATGACATGC